CGCGTCGCAATCCGTCCACACAACGTGTACTTCAACATGACCCTCAACCTCGTTCATTATACGGTCGTGCCAAGCTTTGCCCGTGACCCGGTGGCTTAGGTGTAGCGGTCCCAACTGACATCCCGATGGTCCCGGGTTCCATGCCTGCTAACTCTATCTGATGAGATGAAATTACATCGAAAAGCGTCATAGTAGTGCAGTGTTTTCGGGCGGGCAACACCCAATTACTATTTGCCCAACAGTCGCTGTTTCATAAGTAAGCCATCATTTCACATTTAAGCGAAAACCAGCCGATCAGTAAAATTGTTAACGAACAAGCTCGTTTTCAGTGTTTCCTCAACAGGGAAATACACCACAAAATAATGACATATACCTAAACATCAAATAAGGGTACATGAGCAAATTGTGTTGTGACGCTCAGTGGTGTCAATCTCAGTAGAAATCATCACATTGTTGGATAGGTTTAACACTCAACAGAGGCCGCAATACGACATGTGTACTGACTTGTCTCACATTTGGGCCTTAAAAATGGTTATAACTGGTATGTGGCTGATATTAACCCCAGAATGTTATGTAGTACCTGGCTTTGGTGGGTGAAGTCTATGGCATGATCTTCACCCTCCAGCAGTCATCAACTCGGTTCCGCGATCCGGGTACTGTTAGCCGTTGACAGGTTGATTTGGGGTGCACCTTTCATTGGCAGCACCAAGATTTAAGATTGAGTGCATATTTGCTCTCTGTTTGTCAACTTGGAAAGTTTTCCCAATTTTTATATGAGGTGGGACTTAAAGGAGCTTAATTTAGGTCCAGATCTATCCAGGCAAATATCCGCCTTCTTACTGTTGTTGTGGGGCGGAGCATTTCAAGATGCACTGTTAACGTATAGCCTTCTGTGACCAGTTACGCTGGAAAACCATGCACAAATCACACGAGCAAATCCTAAAGGTAGGTTTAGTTATCGCGTTATCAAATCGCTGTGGTATCACTGCATGTGTGTTAGGAAACTGACACCCAGTTCATCTTTCTTTCGAAATAGATCTCGCAAAGTTCTAAGTATAGGGACTAAAGCATGAAGCGATAAGGACGATTCGGTACTTAACACACTCATCAAAAGCTGTCCTCCTGTTTTACATACAGTACTGGACTGATCACATCGGTTACCATATCATTGTCCATCTACTTTTACAAGTTTTCCCCAAAACTGATTAATCAAGGTTCATGTGTCCATGGAACTAAATGTTTATGTTCTTTTAAAAGTGAAACAACAATTTGCCACAACGAAGGCGCAACAGCAGTACGGTTATCATTGGATGATTGTCGCACGGATTTGGATATATTGGGCGAATGATTAGAAGCTCTATTGTACTATTTATGCTGAAAAATGCATTCAACTGAAACTAAAGCTATTTAATTTGCTGTCCGGCTGACTGTTCTACACCAGCTTTACTCCTCGTCTGAGAACTTTCGACGAGTTTTCTACTTAACTGTTTGAAATGTTTTGAAATAGCTACTGCTTGAACACAAGAATAAATCGTGTTTCTCTTTGCAATTGGTCATTATTCTGGTTAAGCTATTAACAAGTCAATGTGATTAACATAGATTGTACGTATGAACCGACAACCTGCCAAACAAGCTGGCTTCGGTGATTAATTGTAAGGCGAAATACAATGCCTTAGTATATTTTAGAGTATAAAGGGCACAATGGGTTACTACAAAGTTATGCAACTTTTAAAACCACCACAATGGGTGTGACGTTTTAACGCACACAAAGCGTGTGGATGTTGTGGAGAAGAATCGCCAGCACATCTGCTAAGGCAAGGATTCGGCATCTTGAGAAGCACACCCCTCACACGGTAGATCGGGTGAAAGGACTTAGTGATAATGACAACGGTTCGTTTGGACTAGGTGCGCGGATGTTTCGGTTGTGCACGGTTTGTTCCATCCTTATCTTCACCACGCTACTTAATGATCGCAGATGCGTTCAGGTAAAGGTTTTTTGGTGGGACACATATGGCTGGCCCTAGAAGAGTTGGTTAATTTGTACACACAGTAGGTGACATCCACAGACAGTTCATTCTTCAGCCGATAGTGTAGCCTAGGCGTGGTAGTGAGATTAGTAAGCAATTAGTGGCAGCATAGGTGTTAATGATGGTTGATTTTTAATCGCTTGCTAACGTTCTGGAAACTGTTGTGTGCTTTGAATGGCAACGATATATATGCAGGTTTCTGTCTACTGTGTGTGCTTCAGCAACCACACGGTAGTCTCGCATATTCCTGTCAGCAAGTGCCTCGGGATTTCCGCTGCTAAAGAATACTTCTCTTATTATGAGGCGATTTGCTTTGCTTGCATTTTCGGCAAATACGTTTGTTGATTTTTCGACAATACAACGAAGCAGGTAATGTTTTTGTCAAGTTAGAACAAAACTCATACTGCTTTGCCGTGGATTCTACTCTGCAACGAGTCACCTGGGCAACCTGATATCGGAACTTCAAAGAAAGTCAGATCTTCATTTGACGCAGGTTGTATGCTAAACCGAATGTTCCTGTGGGTCAGAATGAACTTCAGTAATACTTCAACCTGGTCCACGGAGATGTCAACTCTGCACATCACGTCATCGACATTGTGTTTACAGAATGGCAGCCTCTCAATCGTTTCACAGCGGACCCTTCTCTAGTTTGCCCATAAACACACCAGTGAACAAGGGAAGCAATTGTGACCCAGGCACCAGACCGTCATTGTGTCCGTATAAACGTCAAGCAAGGAGAAAATAAGAGTCTCTAACTCCCTCGCTGTTGATTCCAGTAGTGCGGCCAACCTCTTCCTCTGCGTCTATCAATTTACCTGTTCCTGTGAAACAAGTAACATAGGCCGCATAACGAGACGTTCGTCTGAATACGTCCGCTAGCATCAGCCAGCGTGGTTAAGTCGAAGACAGAACAAGATGTACACCACAGCAAAAGTCGCGCACCTACTCCAGAGGAATCACATCGACGTTATCACTACAGCCTTTGGCCCGCTCTAGCGTGTGAGAGGAGTCCATGCCAGGCTTATCAGACGCTAAATTCTTGCGCTGGCAGAGGCGATAGCGATTAGTCTTAATAACTCCCGTTTTGCATGCTTGAAGATTTCGCTGTAGCTTTGGTTTTACCATGATCAGCTGTCGTCTGGGCAGCTTCCGCGTGAACAAATCACACCTTAATATTTTTCTGATTACTCGATCCTCCCTTAACAATTTTAGCCAAATAAATGTGTTGTATTTTGCCTGATGATCAATCACCTAAAGCAGGTTGTTTGTTAGACCGTCTTTTTATGACTGAATCGGGAATTATTCAACATTTAATGCCAAAGGAAGAACGTCATTAGCCGAATAAGTAAAACCTTAGGGAAGAAAATATCGTACTTATTTTGAGTTACCAAAAACACATCGACAGACTAAATGGAGTGATGTTCCACTGCGAGACGACCAGCCGAATTCCATTTTGCGTGTCAACATATTAAACAAATCAGTCACAAACTTACACCAACCGAACAAATCAACGATGCTCAAGGCTTATGAACCTACAAAAGATTGATTTATCACTCACACAAAATATAATAATATTGGTTGCGTTATGAGGCTCTACAGTGTCACACTTTCGCATGGTGCAGGGTGATGGATCCTCTGTTAAGCCGTGCTAGTAAGATTAACTTACTAACAACGACTTAACATGGCGATCTTTCAGATATTGTTCACTCCAAAAAGGAGGACACAGTAGAAATAAAACATCAAAATTTGCCGTCTATTCCCAGGCAGTTAAGATGAAGGATTCCTACATCACTAGGTCATTTTATTCGTATAAATTGTCCAGATCCTCAGTATACTCAGTATCCTCAGTATCGCTTTAATAGTCATAACCAGGGTTTCCCCAGTAGCAGAAGAAAAAGCTTACGCACGTAGTAACGCTTTCCCTGTTTATTTTAAGTCCACTGGAGAAATGCAACATTCCTTACAGACATCAGTTTTATTCCCTATCATCATTGCCTTAATAAACTGAATAAAATGTCGATGGTAACAGCAAATATTCGCCCCTTCCTAGGTTACCGTCGAATAAACGTCAGTGACCAAACCCTAAAAACAACGGTTATAGAAATTCCGCAATGCGACTGTGGAACTCTGGATTGCTATAACATATTTTATAAATTGAAGCGCGCTTCAATCGAATTCCAACATCCAGTAGTGCTGCAAGTAGTGCATCGCTTTCAGATGACTGTATTAACTTCCTATAATTGGCGGATTGAGGAAAAGTAGCCACGTGGAATCCAAAGGCAGCTTGCTTTCTCCGTAGCACTAACATTGAGGAGAAAGCATGGCAAGTTACTACGATTCCTTTTACCTGGTGTTTTGGAAGTAGCTCTTATTTATGAGATAACCTGGCATTGGAATAAGTTTCGACAGATGTGCAAATGTATTTGGCGGTCACGTTGATACTTAATGGGTAATCCGGATAGGTGCCAAGCTGTTGGCACTCGAAGGAACCGAAATCTACCGCTTCAATCAGTACTCAATATCCGTCGTATTCGAAGCCAAACTCCCGGCTCTGGGTAACTTTACCGCAATAAATCAAACACCGCCCAAGCCGACCAAGGAGTACATTGTTCAAGGCGAAGACGGCGGCAGCAGCAGCGAAGCAATAACAACAGCAGTAGTCCTCCCAGTCAATCCCACTACAACTGCTTTCCTACTTATAAGGTGCTCCTTGGCTCAGGATAGATTGTTTCGTGTACTTTTGGTCGTGTACTTTTGCAGTTTGACTAGCTAGTATGATTAACCTTGTTGCTGTAGTCATTGTCGTTAGCACATCGTGGTCCTAAATCGCAGCTGTTAACTGCTGCCCAGTGTGTTGGGCGTCCCCTCAGCTGAACGTCAGCTGCCTTTCTCGTTGATCTCTAGCCGTATAATTTGGACTGCTTAATATTAAAGATTCCCTGTGGTCGATCGATGCATATTTTACTATTACAGAAACGAGCACAGTAATACTAGACGGGCAACACCAGTGTTCAGAGGGAATGGAGCAAACGCTGGTAAAATGGAGTGAGTGGAATACGTTCTTCTGGTGTTCTATATATTTAGCTAAATCTTTTAGTTCCAAATGCCGCGAAGAGTATTCTTTTCGATAATTCTCCTCAGGCATTTAAAATCATAAAACCGAAGGGCAGGGCACAAGGAGCTGATGAAGTCAAAGAGGTGAGAATAGTGGAATCACGACAAACAGAAGATCAAAAGTCTCCATCGATAAATGCTACTACTAACATATGTGACAAAGCACGCGTTGGTTTATCGGAGCATCACCCGATCGCTGTCAGCGTACGAAGTGATAAAATTGGTAAGCCAATTAGGGCTTAGGTAGAGGAAGCCCTTGCAGTAAAGTCTTCTGTTTACATAATTCCGGTTGAATTATCATATTCCGGATTGTTTCGGCCGTCTGTAAAATTTAATTCCTAAGACCTTAAGCGTACCGTTTCTGTACTAGACAAAGCACTTTGAAGATATCAGAAGCATGGTGCGTTGTTGCAGTAGCTAGACGAAGTGTTTCAACCAGAAGCGTTTACCCACAGAAACACTCCAAATTTAGCGAGGGACATAAATTCTCCATTGTTACCCTAGTGTCGCTCTACTATGTAAGTAATTATCATTTAGCCTTAGGGTTAGCGTGCGCTGTAGGAAACTAACGGTAATGTTACAGTGACCACGATTGAGTTCAAGCTGGTTTAACTTGCTGCGGTAAACGAACTGTTAGTCACATGCTTTATTTTGCTTTCCTAATAACCGTTCACGGACGTATGCCGCTCCCAGATATGGCTCAGCGAAATAACTCTATGCATCGTAAAATGGTGACCCTGAGTGCACATCCAACAACATGTAAGCGTGATATGCGCTACCGACGAGTTTCCAACAGGATAAACGGTCGTTCAGTACTTTTCCTGGCACGTGGGAGTCGGTCGATAAATCCAACTTCAACGAGTTTCTCCATTTTTTCTGAGAAATGACCGTCACCTATGCACCTGGCGTGCACTGTTTCGGACCAGTCTCCGAAGATGATGAAATGGAAGCGTTTTTTAATGTGATAGTTGCCGTCGTGCACCGTATGAACCATTGTATACCTCTCGGTTGTTCTAACCATCCTTAGTCCTCGTCTTTCCAGCACGAAAGCCGGTAAATTTAATACCGAGCTCTGTTTTATAGACATCTGGATGCGTACCGCACTGGACGCGGTTCGTATTCGATACGGATCACCAGTTAATAATTACATGTGTCTAAGACTTCGCTTATGTCACTACAGCAAATAGGAACTGGTGGCTACATACTGGTACACACCGCTGGGAGTATAAAAATTACGAACTTCAGCCACTCTTGCGCACGTTATCCTGCCTATGCGTTAGTAAAGTTGATGAAACTTCCATTTATGGCTTGTACGAATATTTCCCTCCAAGCATAATTTAAGTTTAAGTAGTTATAAGTTGCAAGTCAGCTTTGACTACTAAGTAGATAGGTTGATCAGCGGCAGTGCTATCGTTCCTATGTTTAATCATAGATGAAGCGCTTACATACTGTTTTGTTTATATTGTGCTGTCCTACAAAGCATCTTGCTATTATACGTTGCGCAATCATGATACTGCCAATTTGGTAACTGATAACAGCTAACTCTGCTCATGATATAACAAGAAAATTAAACATCTCGATGGGTCACTGACAGAAATTCATTAACAGGTTTACCGACTTTCTTCGGGCCATCCTAATTGTTTGGACTATGATAAGGAGAAATTCGCGGATGGAAAAGTGAACGATTGGGATTAAACTTTCGGTTGAGAACATTTGACTCCATTTTATTGCCGCTCACACAGTGAAGGCGAAATATGACCAATAGTGATAGATTTTATGTAATACAGTCATGATACGGCGTCGTTACACACGTAATCGATTGCCCTAGGTTGTGAAACAACGATCACATGAGGAACGAAAGAGAGAATAACTTAACGGTGAGGTAGAAACCGATAGCAAGCAACCTGTCGCTACGTTAAAGAGGAACGCATATAAGTATAAAGATAAAGGGAAGAACATTGCAGTTAACAGCTCTCCTAAGCTTCTTACTCTTCTTCTGTATTTGTACAGGAAACCATTCTGAAAGGTAGGCTGGAACTGCCGCTTTATCACCTGTTCATATTCTGTTCGCGCGCCAATGCTGTTTCGAGTATCCCCTACGCCTTATTGGTTGCGTGTACATGACTGCATCATCTCACGACTTGAGGCTTGTGATTTTATTATGCGGAGTTATAAATATAACTTGATGTTCCACATTATGCAATGAATTAAACTTATTTCCTATTTAGTTACAGAGTGGGATATAAGGTTCCCTGTACAATTTAACTATCTTCAGCTGGCAATAACTGGGTCACGTTGACAACTTAAACGTTCGGAAAATTTAGATGGTGTCCTTCCGACATCTCTTCCCAGCTTGCGAGCAGCGCTTGTCATTTACTTTTCATTGGTATCCATAGGGAAGACCATCGGCTGTCCCTACACCCCCACCTTTCCCCGAGGGACAAATTCGTCCATGTAATCGATCATCCAAGGCCCCGTCATCCAGCACTGGCAGTTGTCTCCTTACATTATGCTTGCACCGATTCTCCATCGTTGACGTGTGTGCGTATGTGCTTAAGAGTTCTGTTGTTCTCAATTGTGAACCGGACACGGCCGAAAATTAATCTGCTGGGCAAACATTCGCTTTGTTTAAAAATCCGCTTGGTAGCGGCGAATGCTGTTCAGCATAACCTATACTTCTATCAGGAAGCGTTTAGTGACCGTCTAAATATGACCACCGTGAAACACACAGGCGCAAGTGTGTGCATTATTCATGGGACAGTTTACACACCAAGCGTACACCACTGTTCCACGGTACCAGTTCTTGCGATGCCCTTTGACAGCGGAGTTATAAAAATGCAAAGATTATCATGTGTACTTCGTGAATTACTGTTAGCGTGTGCCTATCCATGGGTGGCTGTCGTTATTTTTCCATTAAGTAACACTTCCCCAGTCGTGCACTAGAGACTCCGAAGTATTTTCTTGTCGTTTCTGCCTCGTAATTCACATAATAAGCTCCTATAGACCAAAATATTTAAGGACCTTGTGGCCCCAGTAATGGTCGCTTAGGATGCACTGGGGTCTATTTGACAGTAAACTATACTTTGAACACTGAAGTGCAGTTATTTCGATGGCATCATACCAACAGAAATTGGCGGAGCCTTAGGAGAATTCAGCGGAGCATAGTTTAAAGATACCGATGAAACATTAAGGGAAAAAGGAGATGTACATCCATACACTGGATATGCGACGTTGTAAGTAGGTCGAATCAACAGACGAAACGCAGAGCGCTTTTAACCTCACCCTGTCAACACAAAAGGAAGTCTCCGATCACATTGTAACAGAGCTGGTGCCACGTCCACGAAAGCGGTGCTTGCTGACACGACTGGCTTCTTCGGTCCATTTCTTTACACACTTATACCGGATTATGAGCATACTTCCATGAGGATTCATTCAGAAACCATTACCATTGGAGAAGAATGCCTGCAAAAGTAGTTGGTCAACTGTTGCGTAAATTCGGTGGTCTAGCACACTAGGACGGATTAAGTTACGAAGAACTTAAATGACCATAGAGGATCTTTTACCCGGTAACAACTTATAAACAAATGTCTTGCTCATACGGCACACCCACAAGATATGCACGATGTCATGCAGAAGCTGAAAGTCGATGACCATTAATCGCCAGGTTCATTCAACGCACCATACCCATACCTCTGATAATTACAGTAGAATGAATGTGCCACAGCGATGTTCCCAGTTAATGTGTTAATATCTCGCTGCCCCGAATTTGACCACCTCGTTGCTAAACCAAATGAGTCTTCCCTGAGAGTGCAGTAGCCTTTGCAAGAGTTTGCTGTTAAGGTGAACAGAAGATGATTGGACGCAGTGGTGGTAATTAACAAACTGCTTAAAGTTTTCTCGTTGGACCAAGCAATCTGAAGTTTTGAGTAGGATATCAACCCGGATGGCTGCTTTCACTGCGTCTAAACGTGAAAGACACCGGTGAGATTATCACATCCAACCAAGCACTTCAGTTCTATGATCTGTTGGCACATATACGCGTGTTCAAGATGTTCTCAATGATGTGATAAAGCGGTGTCAGTTGCCAGGGATCCGCTCTGGGAAGCATCCTTCAGGGAAAGCATTTTGGTGGTAACATTTGGAGATTTTGCTGACTGAGCGTGTCTCATGGTGCCGACTGTTTGAGCCATTCGTGACCGCGAAACTAAAAATAACTTCTAAACTATTTGGTTTCTGGCCTTTTGTCTAACCTCGCTTTTTAGCTACTCGTTTTTCAAAGATGTGGCTTAATAACAACCAAAGTGTCAGGAATACACATACGAATGAGAGTAATGTAATGTGGTTTAGGATCAAGAACAACACCAATGCTCGAAATCGGAACTTCGAGTGTATTTACAAGAAGAGCTAATATCTTGGCGACTAATTATGAGATGCGGCAAATCTAACGACCGTCCAGCCGTTGGGGGTACGTCAGCAGAACATATTTACCGTTATCACAAAGTGAAGAATTACATCAGCCTAAAGTACTGCTCGACCAATCACAGCAAGCTGATGTAATTTGATACTATCAGGAAGGTATCTCCTTGGACATCGTGTCTTGGCGCGCACGCACTAAGTTGTTGTTGAATTTTCGAACATACCAAAATTGTTGCGAGGGACGCCCTGCACGTGTGCTGCTGGGTGCCTGGTTAACTCGCCACCCCATGCACCTCATCGCCGTCCGAGGAGGAAACATCTAGTGGCTTCTGAAGTACTTTCGTTGATCTTAGGCACATACAAAACGATTCCAGAGATAAGCTCTAGAGAATGGAGACTTTGGTTAAGCAGTAACTTTGACTGCATTGTACCTCCTTATTCGCCTACCTAAATCGTCATATCCATGCAGTTCAGGAATGAAGCCGGGATTGTTGCTTCCCTCTCCTCCATCTCTC